ATCTCTTTCTCTTATTTTATAGTAGTTGTACTTTACTGTTGTACACTATGGGAAAAGGAGACTTGTTTAAACTTCTTATTCGAGCACATCTCATGTCTTGCTTGATGTTCATTTCTGCAATTCTACACTATCCAGGGTTGAATTCACTGATAACGGCCTATTGTCATTTATCTGGAGTGTCTCAAGCATTTGATATGTGGTCTTCAGCATGGCTTATTACTGACTTCTACTGCTATCTTATAGATTTATTCAGTAGAAAATACTTAGAGGGCTGAGACTTCGTGTATGGGGAAAATGCCTTGCGATTTACTTTCTCAATGTACTCCATGCATAAGTATCACCTAAAGTTGTCGGATTCTTGGCATTTGGATCTTCTTATAATTTTGGGTAAATTCAAGGCAGTAGAAAGAGATATTTCCTGAATGAATTCTGCTCTATATCAGTTGATTAGCATTAAAAATTGCTAACTCGATTTTGTGTATTCAAAAAAACAGTATGAATTTGCTACCACCGCAGATTAATAGTTGTTTATGCACGAAGGAAAAGTAAATTTTCCTGAACAAGTATGGATTTTGCCTCATATAATAGAGATTGTCTCTTGCTAGTTTTAGGAATCCTCTTGATCCTTCAAAACAGATTGGCCTATTTGTGTTCTCCTCTTCCTTTAACATACTCAGTTAAAGAATATCACCCTTTCAGCTCCTATCAGAGAAGAATTGGTTTGATTGAAATTCATACCAGACCCAATATGTATATCTGCTTGTGGCTGTTGTTCCCTTTTGCCCACGTGAAAATTTTGGCATATTGTCTGATCAGTAGTCAGTTCTAGTCAAGCAGTTATTCGGTGGGCATACAATGCTAGCGCTATTTGCTTATAGGGTAATTGTTGGAGAAACCGGTATAGAATTCCTCTGATGTTTTCTGGTCTTTCATGCTTTGTTTCACAATCATGATTTGTACAAGAGCAAGTTTATATTTAGAAGGAAGTAAACATGTATCTCTACAGTCACTTGACTCCTTGCTAGTGGACATTCTATCTTATAAGTGTATCATAGATTTCTTATGGCTTTATGTTTTTTTTTTAAACATATGGGGTTTTCATGTTTTTGTTGTCTCACATTTTATGCAGAGAACCACTTCACAGGATGAGGAGTTGGAATTGCTATTTTCTGGGCTCTCTCTAGGATGATGATAAGAAGCAAACTTCATATTCCCACGGTTAGTTTATCAGATTATTCAGTGGTTCCATTATGTTGCTTACTTCATCTTAGGATTTGATCGCATCTTTGGTCTCTTTTCAATGTATCTTTCTATTTTCTTTTTGAAACATTTAGCACATTAACAGTAGATGTTGTTATGGTTGTTAAATGAATTATACTTGTTACATAGTAAGTCTGTAATTAGACTTGTTATCTCAATTATCTAGTGCATAATCTACCAAGTCAAATTCCGGCAGTTGATTTTACCTTGAACTTTTACCTGGAACCTTTGGTTCCAGGTGAATTAATGCTGAAAGTACCAGGGCACAATCACTACTCTATTGCTAAGTTTGTTTATTGAGCTCCTTAGCTTGTCCAAATCAGCAAATTAATTGAAAGATTGAGCAGGTTCCAGGTGAATTAATGCTGAAAGTACCAGGGCACAATCACTACTCTATTGCTAAGTTTGTTTATTGAGCTCCTTAGCTTGTCCAAATCAGCAAATTAATTGAAAGATTGAGCTGCTTATCTAGTTTATTGCTGATTGCTTTATTGGCTGTTTCTATTAATAAAAAGTGCTTCATGTACCCTTTCACAGGAAAAATATTGTATCATCTGTAGTATGCATACATCTTTTCATGAAAGTTCAGAAGTATAAAATATAAATAACTGTTTTTTCATTGAAGATGATTCCCAGCTATAAACAAGAAGGAGAGGAAATAATTCTTTCCGATTAAATGCTCAAGCTTGATTACTTCCCTCCCTTAGTGTGTCACGCTATGCTGGAAAATGCATTGTTGCTACCTCCCTCTTTTTGGTCTTTCCCATCTATCTTTCTAGTCAAATAACCTTGAGAAAGATGCATGATAGAGATCAGCAGCTGGCTAAGAGAGCCAGCTTGAATTCATGAAGTCCATTTTATGTTCTAAAGCGACTTTGAAAAAAACTACGTGAATGGGTCGCCTTTCTCTCTTGCTTCTTTCTTCTTTCATGTTTTTGATTGGACGGATTATTTATATGTGCTCTTTGTCTATGATTTGCTATCATTGTTGTTAAAAGGAAATCAAGATGGAAAATATTTTGGTTTTACAGTTAATGATGGGTAACTAGCAAAATAATTTGCTTTTGCTTTTGTTTCCCCTTTCCTCACTATATTGCTTTCATATTTATCCAATTGACAAGACAATAGCAGGTTGGTGATTCACTACAAAAATGGAAAGTCTTATCTTATTGATGAGTTCCTAGTTGTGTGAAAATTTGCAACTCTCGTCTAAGTTCTTTATTTTATTTATAAGAACCTTTAGAAAGATTGACTTAGCTTGATTACCTTGCAGCTATTATGAAGTTGAGTGTTGTTTGCCCTAAGTTTATGATGAAACCACCGAAGGAGTTGACCAAGAACTTGAACTATATGTCACATATCTTGGCTATGTCTTTTAGGAGAATGCCAGGAAAAATGAAGATGTAGCACTTAAATTTGAAATATGATTTCTGAAATGAAGGAGTGTTGCGGAGTGTTATACAACAGGAACATACCTACCAAACTACCAAAGTGAGCTGCAAGTTTTACAGAACGGTTGAGAGACAAAATATGTTATATAGGAGCGTAAGTCCCAACATATCCACGAGAAAAGTGTTATATAAATGTAGATTTTAAGGTGGGTGTACTGTCGTACAAAGTTAGACAAGATCAGAAATGATCACATACGACATGGGGTGAGGTATCAGGTGGAGAATAAATATGAGACATTTGCTTGGGAATGTTTATGCATGTTCTATGTTGACCTTCCAATGCACTAGCCTTTAGATGTAACACTGTTTGAAAGTGTTAAATTAGGACAAGTATACCTAAATTCACTAGGAGCGAAGTCTTAGAAGGCCTACTTTTTCTTGGAATACATGCAAATTAAGTTATACATTAGACATATTTATATTTAGATAACAACAGCACAACAAATAATTGCCTAAGATGCGATAGCATTTTGGAGTACTTGCTTCCTTTATGGCATCCACATATTCTTTGTCATCATCCAATAAGCCAAGTGCGTAACATGCATTTCTAAAAGTGGGATGGTCATAATTGTTGACTTTTTAAGGTCCTCATAACATGTTGGACCTTTAATGACATACAACAGTAATGTGAGATAATATAGCTCGTTAGTTCCCGGCGAAACAAAGAAAAATCCTCCCAATAGAAAATACATAAGTTTTTCTCTTCTACATCTTTTCAATTTTTATTTCCACACAAGCTTAAAGAGAAAATTCTGCATAATTTAATTCTTTTGTTTCAGGCAATGTCTTATTTGCCTCAAACCAACATAAAACTTTGATTCCTTTATGAATATGACAATATCATCAATTGCATCATCATGAGAATATGACATTCTGTTCATCTGAAAGATAAAATGCTAATCTTACCAGAAGAAGTTTTCTGTGGTGAATTTGGAAATCTAAATATTCTCCAAACAACTTTACATGGTGATATATATCGACAATCATAATACATATTGATTTCATCAACATTTGAATATTTGATTCATGTAAGAAAAAACAACGGTGACATAATCATATCCTTTATTAACATACTTAAATAGTACTTAATTGATCTTGATTGATTGCACCATTCCATATTAATATGAGCATCATACTTTGATAATAAAAATCGGTTGTGTGGCACCACATCCCTGCTATCCAAGTCAATACTATCTTTCTTGATATTTTTACCATTATCTTTTCTTTTTATAAACATGATATCCATCTTCATAAATTGTGGTTGACTTAACAAACTTTTGTGCAAAGTGCTTTGTACATCTCTTATTCTGCATGCAGTGAGAAGATTTTCTAGCAGAACCACATGGGTCATGCATCATGAAATTTTACACTGCCTTATAATAATGAGGATCATCCAATTCATCTAGTATTTCTTCTGAAACTATTCATTCAATATCTGCAGCAGTGAGATATTTATTATGCTCATGAAGGAAAAACAAAATGTGAGCATGAGGCTGCCCTGGTTTTTGGAACTCAACCTTATAAATCACTGCACCGAAAGAATTTATTAGATAAATAAATAGTTGAATCTATATTTTAAAAACATTAGCTTATGTAAAATAAATTAAAAAATTAATTATTATTTTAGAAGTTGAATTGTACACCTGCTTTTACTCTCCCTCCTTTATTACGCGATCTAATTGATTTTGAAAACCCTAAATAAAATGTCCGGACGATCCTAAAATTTAAGACCCTACTCTTTACAAATCTACTAATCATAAGCCACTTTGGGTTGCAAGTAAACGTGATGAAAAAATCAGGGTAGCCGTCCGTTTGCATATTGCCATAACATTTTGATAATTTTGAAGCATGTGTTGTGCACCCAATGTGAAGTTGGACAAGAGAATTATCATTTCCTTGAGAAGAAGGATTAATTTCTGTATGCAAAACTGCATCTGCTAATTCTTTGTACATGTGAGCTCTTAACTGTTTTTGATGAATCCTATTAACCTCAATCAAGAAGATCTGATCATTGTATATGCATCAACCGAGCATTGCTGAAATAATCTTTCGGAGAACACTTCATCCTTTCTTTCTTAAAGATTGTAAACAAAATATTCTCGCATGCTAACACATTGTCTTCCTAGAATTGATTCATTATCTTTGTTGAAGGAATTAATACCCTCTCTGTAGCCATTTTCATCATACGAAAAGTAAAGGATATTGCAGACCTAAATACGAAACATTCAATTCATTTATCCTTTAGGTTTCAATAATGATATTTTTGTAATCTAGATAGTTCAAATCCTCCCGCCACCAACACAACCTCAAAAATCGTCGGTAAGTTGTATCTTCTTCTGTCGGTGCCCCTTTACCCTATCAATCTAAGTCTAACATTGGAGCTTATGTTTTCTTGAAATCTATTACTTACCATTCTAAATGTCTTAGCCAAAATATTGTGGCCTTCAAACATTTGCTTCATATCATCAACAATCTTAGGAAATCTTTTTTTAATGATTTGACCATGATTACGAAGAAAATAGTTTATGAAACTAATATCCCTGTCTTTTGATTTAAAATCTTATTTACAAATTATTATTCAGGAATTATAAAATACTATCCTCATAACATGATTTTATTTTTCATTTTCTGCACAAACTTTGGGGTGGATCCTTCAGGTGGCAATAAACTTTCATTTTGATGATAATTATGCAGAGACAAATTGAATGTTCTTGGTCACCTTGATTGATAGAGACATCAACCTTTCCCCCTATTGATGTAAATGAGAATATAGAATTATAACTTCTAATATCCTCTTGAAAATGGTCACTTTTAGGACATGGGTAAACTAAGAGTTGGGGAATGATAAACTATATATGAATGCGAATATTCTTTTAATAAGTTTTAAGATATGTTTGCTCTAGCAAGTAGTTTTTGTTTTGAAATAGAACTAACTTTTAGTTGTATTTTTTGTTTTTGTGTTTTGGAATCATGATTATAATCTGAACTGACTTAATTCCTTGTGTTATTGTATTGAGTTGATAGTAGAAAAGTTATTGGAAAATTTTGAAATATCCGAGAACTACGTATTTGAACCTTTATGCTGCTATATTCTATAAATAACGATAAGAAGGAATTTGTGAATGCTTTATGTAAGTTTAGTGAATGAATCAAAAATTTAATAGTCAATTTAAAACAATAATACAATGAATTAAGTCACTTCGGACTATAGTCATGATTCCAGACGACAAACAAAAATACAACTACAAATTACTTCTGGTTCATGTAAAAAATTACTTGCTAGAAATTAAATTATTTGACTAAAGTATCTCATATAATTTCTTGTAGATGTAGCATTTTATGTTGTTTGGATCGGACTAGAGGAAACATCTATTTTGTCTTATGAAAAGAATAGCCACATTTCATATATAGTTTATTATTCTCCAACTCTTATTTTATGTTGGTCTCGAAATTGACCATTTTCGAGAGAGTATTAAGAGTTACTATTCTATATTTTCTTTTACATCAATGCGGGGAAAAGTTTATGTTTCTGTCATCAAACATGGGGACCAAAAACATTCAAGATGTCTAGGTAGAATTATCATTAAATTGAAAGTTTATTGCCCCTAGGGATCCACCCGAGTTTGCATAATTATATATTTACGATATAAAAAATGAAATGGAAAATAGAACTCATGCTATGAAGTTAGTATTTTATCATTCCCGAATAATAAGTTTGCAAAGGATAAATGAATTGAATGGTGCCTATTTAAGTCCGCAATATCCTTTACTTTTTCTATATGGTGAGGATTGCTACAGAGAGGACATTCCTTTCGAGGGAGATGATGAATCAATTTGAGAAAAAACAATGTGTTAACATGCGAGAATAATTTGCTTACAGAATTTAAGAAAGGGAGAATGAACTTCCAATGATTTTGTGTTCCCGAAGATTATTTAAGCAATTCTTGGTTTATGCATATACAATTATTGAATCTTCTCAATTGAGGTGTATTAGGATTTATCAAAAACAGTTGAGAGATCTCGTGTTTAAAGGTTAGCTGAGTAGTTTTACATGGAAAATTAATCCTTTTTCTCAAGGATAGTTTTACCAGCCAGCTTCACAGGGGTGCATGGAACATGCTTAAAAAATATCAAGATTCTTTGGCAATATGCAAATGGGTTAGATTTCCTAATATGCTTACTTGCAACCCAAAGTGGCCTTAGACTCGTAGATTTGTAGAGGGCCTCATATCTTGATTTTTCTTCATGAGCATAATAAATATCAACCATTGCAGATATTAGTTGAATAATTACGAAAGAAATACTAGATGAATTGCATGATCCTTATTTTTATAAGGTTGTAAAAAATTTCACGATGCATGATTCATGTTGTTCTGTTAGAAATCTTCTCTTTGAGTGTATAATGGGAGATGTACAAAACACTTTCAAATAAGTCTATTGAGTCAACCACAATTGATGAAGATGAGTATTTTGTTTATAAAAGAAGACAGATAATGGTAAAACTATAAGAAAATATGGTATTGACTTGGATAGCAACATGTATGTGGTGCCGTAGGGTTGGTTCAGATTATTAAAGTATGATGCTCATATTAATGTGGAATGATGCAATCAATCAAGATCGATTAATTACTTATCTAAGTATGTTAATAAAGGATATGATCGTGTCACTGCTACTTTTTTCTCAAAGTGTACATGAGGAAATTCATCAAGTGATGATGAAATGTGTATCATAATTATTGATATATATATATATATATATCACTGAAAAATATTTGGCTTTCTAATTCACAATAGTGAACCTCCTATGGAGGACTAGCATTTCATCTTCCTGATGAACAACATGTCATATTTTCTGTTCTTCAATAATGTTGCTAATAGACCGAGTGTAAAGGAATCAATATTTTAAGCTGGTTTGAGCAAATAAAACATTGTCTGAAGCAAGAGAATTAACTTATGTAGAATTTCCTCTTAAGTTTCTGTGGAAACAAATTTTTGTATTTTTTGTTGGGAGGCTTTTCTTTATTTCGCTCGGGACTAGCGAGCTAATATTATCTGAAATTATTGTTAAATGTCATTAGGTCCAATATGCTTTGGATCTTAAAAAGAATCAATAATTATAACGATCTAACTTTTAAAGATGCATATTATGCACTTGGCCTATTGGATGATGACAAAAAATATGTGGATGCCATAAATGATGAAAGTATCGGGGGAATGCCATTATATCGTAAGCAATTATTTGCTAGGCATATTTACATTAAGTCTGGTGTTTTACATGAGTCCTTTTAGTTTGTTAAAAGATTGTACAGTGGCAAGATAGGTTTGGCATTTTGATAATTCGTGGATTTAGAGTACCTCTAACATGGTAGACAATTATCGTGTTGTAAAATGAAACTGTTCCAAGTATAGGAACGGATTTAGAAGATTCGTATAACCTATATCAACTAGTTTGGGATTGGCGTCTCGTCTTTATTGTTTATTTAGTTTCTTCCTTTATTTTATTGAATGTCTTGAAAATTTAGTTTTTCCATGAAGAATTAATAAGTTAACAAATGAATGAGAGGCATGAAAACCCTGAGAAGCTCAAATTGTTGGAATTTTTTGTTTGGATTTGTAGCCTTAGAAAATGATTTGATGATCATGGATTCTATACCTTATTAGATGTAATCTTTAGTTACAATATTTCAAAAATAATCTCATTGGTTTCCCTCGAATAATTTCATATAAAATGAGTCGCAAACACTCTGTAATATTCCAAAATGTCAAAGCATGAAAATTTTTAGGGAATCAGAGTTTTGACAGACAATTCTTTTTGCCTATTTACCGGCCTACAAAATTATGCTAATCCTTGTCAATTTCATTTATTTAGTGTCATCATTATTTCCCAATTATGGCTAAGTTGCTCTGCATTATAATCCTTAACCCTTATGGATAGCTTAGTGTTAGTCTTGCTATGCAAGTTTGGAGGAATGCCAAAGCAATAAAATGCAGCCGAGTCTGACCCCCAAACACTGGTTTTCTGGCATCAAATACATGTGTATATTTGGTTAGTTCAGGAAAGCTAGTGAATTATTAAAGCTATGACTAGCCAGCATCCTACATGTTGAGTATCAGCTTCATAAGTAGGCAGAGGGAGGGTTGACATGTCTGCGATGTCTTAATTTTGATAATGATCTGAATTCCCTCTGATTTTGTTGTTTACTTTAGGGTCCAAATCCAAATAGATAGTGGCCCTGGCTTTTCATGATGAATTCATTTGATGACTTTTTAACTAAAACATCCTTCGATTTACAGAAGTTTTTTGGTTCGTCTGATCAAGCATTTCAGGTAACCTTTCTTGGGTATTTGGTTCCGCTGCCTACTTGAGCGTGTGTTTCTTTTGCCTCTGCTGTTATATATTCTTCTTGTAGGTGTGACTAGAATTGCTTCAATCTGTTGCAGGTGCATCTGTAAATTGTAATGCTGCTTAAACTTTTGGTTGGTCTGGAAGTTGAGCATTGAAGAGTGGTTGTGGTTTCAAATCTGATGGTCATCCTTTATCCTGCCTTTACATGTATAGCCTCCAATGGTGTACGAGCGGGAAAAGGAAAAAAGGTTTCTGTTGGTTTGGCTTTAGGAGGTGTATATATGCAGGAAAGGTTTCTCAGGCTCGTATCATATATAGTTGTGTTGTTGTTAATGCATTTTTCAACACATCGTTATTTGCTGTTATGTTTTATTATCAAAAACACTGCCCCTATTGTAACTAGGCAATGTTTAGTCTTGCATTCGTGAGCCAGTTGACTATGGGTCCTACTATATTATATAATAAATTCAATAAAAAGGCGTATCCTTTTAAAATTATATAAAAGTTCAGTTCTATGTTTTGTTTGATTTGGTTCATAAATTAGTACATTGATGTAGTTTTTGTTTTACATAAATGGATTCAAACTGAACCTAAAACACCTGAGTGGGTAGTAGCAAATAAGTATATATGAAGTTTTGATGTATAGATATGGAAATGGTTCTTTTTCTTTTTCCTTTTTTCCCCTTATTCGAACTGAGCCACAAACACCTGTGGTGCATTTTGAGTTGAAACTTCTTTCCTTTTATTGTCTTCATATCTTTACATTAAAGAAAGATGAATAATTATTATTTTATCTTCTGATTTTGTAATTTCACTTTGTTCATTGTTGAGTTCATGATTCCTAAACATTTAGGGCTTAGTGAGTCGAAGCAATTCTGCACGAAGAAAATGGAAAAAATGATTTTTCTTTTCCATTAAATTATACGTAGATTGCGTTTGCTTTGACATAAAGGGTGTGTTTGGAAGGAAGGAAAATGTTTTTTAATTTTTTCATGTTTGGTTAGTTTAAATATTTTAAAAAATATTTTACTCATGAACTCATTTTGTTCTCCCTCTCAAGAGAAGGGAAAATATTTTCCAAAACTCTTTTTCAACTTTTCCACCCTATTCCCCATCCCTNTAGATAGATTTTTTTTTTTCATTTCAACAAATGAATATCTTCGTTCCATGATATAAAAAGGTATTTTTTTTTTATTTTAACAAAAACAATTACTTTCTTTTCATGATGTAAAAAAAGTATTTTTCTATCATTTCAATAAAAAGAGTATTTTCTTTTCATGATATAAAAAAAGTATTTTTCTATCATTTCAATAAAAAGAGTATTTTCTTTTCATGATATAAAAAAAGTATTTTATTTCATTTCAACAAAACGAGTATTTTCTTTTTATTATGTAGAATAAGTATTTTCTTTCATTTCAAGAAAGTATTTTTTTTTCATTTCAACAAAATGAGTATTCTCTTTTAATGATGTAGAAAAAGTATTTTCTTTTATTTCAATAAAATGAGTATTTTATTTTCATGTTGTAGAAAGAGTACTTTTTTCCAACCAAAAAAAGAGTTCTTTTTAGCTATGTAGCACAAATTTCAACGTTGTTTTTGCGTAAAAAACTAAAGCAGCACCTTACTTCCTTTGGTTTTGTGTGAATTTTTAGATGAATAATTAAATTCTTGAAGAAAATAGAGTCCTGAAAATATTGGACACTGGGGGG